ATCAAAAAAGGAGCTCTGGTGGCAGAGTGGGTTGCACATCGAGTTGCTAACCATGAGGTTAGCACTTCAAACCCACCAGCTGAGAAAGATGAAGCTGTCTACTCCTGACAGATTCCACGTTTCAGAAACCCAAGAGGCAGTTCTACTCTGTCCCCTAAGGTTCTGAAGAGTCTGAGTCCACTATATAGCAGTTTGAGTTTGATATGAGATGGAACTGATAACATCAATTCAAGAGATTAGCTAAGAGCCTGAGGAGGCAGTAAGCATATGTTACGGAAGTGGAACCAGTAATCACTGTCACTAAGCTATACTTGTACATACTGTTGAGTTGCTATGTCTGCTGTGTGTATCCTAAACAACAAAATAAAAAGGAAAAAAAAGTATAATTCTGATACTTACTATCTAATTTCAGACCTTCTGCAAAGGATTCTAGAGCAGCAGCATAATTTTTTTCATGGTAGTCACAGATCCTGGCATGAGATATTAAAAACAAATATCAAATACGCATAAGATCATGGAAACTAGCATTCTTTCTAAAGAAAAAAAAATCCTAGGAGTCTCTACTGTTATGAGAATTTGTCTTTTGAATTATACGCTAGCAAACCAAGAAATTGTCTAAAATACAGTGCTGTATATATAGTACTATTTCCATTAAAATTCCATTTTGGAACTCATGTCAGAAGGAATTTTTTTTTTTTTGCTGCAAAAGGAAGCTTTATTGTTTCCATTTGGTCCCTGGCTTGGGGGATGGGCTCCAGGCGGTGGCGCTGTGGCTGGCCAGGCAGGTTCAGGCAGAGGGGCACAGGCTGGCAGCGGGGAGACAGAGGGCCCCTCGCAGGTAGCACAGCGCTGCAGGTTCCTAGTCAGGATTGAGGGTGAGCCTCTCGAAGAGATCCTCGCCCAGCCGGCCTGGGTTTGGCCAGCCTTGGAGGTGGGTCAGGGGGTCGCCCATCTTCTTGAGGAGTTTCACCTCCTTGTCCAGGAAGTGGTTCTCCAGAAAGTCACAGAGATGGGGGTCAGCGTGAGTGGACTCCACGGCGTGCAGGTCCAGAAGGGCCTGGTTGAGGGTCTTCTCCAGGGATAGGGCAGCTTCCATGGCATCCAGGTTCTGCCCCGCTCATCTTGGGGCAGATTTTGCACATCCTGGGAGGGCGCGGCCGCCGCGCTGGGTCCCCTCGCACTGCCCCTTCGCCAGCTCATGGAAGAAGTGTCCCCCGCCCTCCCAGGCCACATCATCACGATCGAAAAAGCAGCCCAGAGAGAGGCAGGTGTCAGAGGCTCCCAGGTGCAGGTTGACCAGACGGTGGACGCCGGCCTCAGCATCAGCAGAACATTCTGATGGATTTGAGAGCTCGCGATGCGTCGGTTTGGAGGTCATCACACTAAATAAAAGTGTTCGCTGGTCCCAAGAAGAGGGGCTGGCCAAGAAGATGATCCCAAACTTACTTCCGGAGAGGAAACTGGAGCGTGCAGAAGGTTGGAGGCAGGGAGTCCCCGGATCTGTTCTGTTCAAACACTGTTGAAGTAAGAAAGACAGATCCACGGGACCACAGGGCGAGCTTCCAGAAGGAATTTCTTGACTATGATTGTATGTATTTATTTATTCCAAATACTTAAAATTAAGGAAGTTTCTTAAGGTATGATGTCACGCTATCAAGACATCAACTGGCATATGAAGTGTACTTACAGGATATGCTATCATTAAATGTAGTTTATCTAGTTTGGAAGCAACCCTGGTGGCACAATGGGTTAAGATTTACGCTGCTAACTGCAAGACTGGCGGGTTAAAAATCCCACTCCATGGGAGGAAAAAGCTATCTGTTCCTATGAAGATTTACATCCTTGGATATGCTACGGAACCTCGGATACACTACAGAGCATTTCTGCACTGTCCTATGGGTGGCTATGAATCAAAGTAGTACATTTGTTTTTACTTTTTATTCAGTTTGGTTAAAGAATATTCTCTAATCAAATGCCTTAAATACCAAATGATAGACAAAAAAGGGGACTTAAAATCCATCAGTTTTACCTCTCCCTTGAAATTACTCCATCACTTTAAAATACTTATAATAGGTCACCTATCACATACTGCAATTACTAGACAATATTTAAAATATCTGAACTATAAAAAATATAAATATAGAATGTTATTATTTATACAAGGTTTACAATGAGTTTACTCAACAATTTAAATGCCTACTTTCTATAGCCCAGGCCCAACAAGAAAAGTGGTTATAGCATACCCTTTCCTCAGCATAGCAGTAGAATTATTTGGATTAAGTTTGAGAGATTTCTTTGCATCAGCAACAGCATCTGTGTATAGAAAGAAAGGAATATTTTTTAATATCATTTACTTACATACACTAACAAATACTGTGTCAAAATTTGAATCATTCTTAGATTTCTGAGTTTTCAAAAAGGTGGAGAGGTCAACTGATTTTTAATTAGGAAAACTAACCCAAGACATAATCCAAATAAATATT